TATATAATGTGTGTATCGGAGTTATTATGGTGAATGTTTTCTCAACCCAACAACCCGTGGTTACAAACTCATAACCCAATCAAATAACAAACAGCAAACAACGTAATACGACTAGGAAAGAAACCTAGCCTAATCTAGTTATAAATATTACGTGCGGACTAATATGAATATATTTTTGAAATTGTTCAGAGTTTATTATATATGTCAAGCTTGTTAACGAAGTCAAGCCAATTTACATATATTATCGTGCTGTATATCTTTATACTAAGTGGAATAACGTAGCTATATGTGAAATTCGACTAATAATTGGCTGTGATAGCCAAGTTGTTGTCTATTTCAATTTTTCATTTAATGATGAATTTGTTCAAATTCAGATTTTCGGAATTTTTAAGTTTACTCAAAGACTATATTTTAAAATAATTATGTGCTTATAATTACATTTCAACATTTGTACAATTTAAAGGTTGTCCTGTGGTTTAAAAAACTACCCTTTTTGTTATGAGTTGTTAAGCAGATTATTTGTTTGAAAATGTTAATGTATAAATAGTATAATGTACATATATAAATCGAAACTTGAACGAGTAGTTTCCAAAATATTAAATTTTAATTAATTAAGAATTAGGATAATAACTCATGCAAAAGTTTGATGTTATCGGGAATACGATTATTTATTTATTTAAATTTTATAGTACTAGTATTATCTCAGTGTAGTAGGTAATAAATTACTTTAGTTCATTCAAATATGTATACACATAAGGTGATTCAAAATGAATGTCAGAGTCATTTTATTATATAAATATAAAATATTCTGACGTTGATCTAATGTATGATCTACCGGTTGTTGATGATCTACATTTTAAAGTTTACGATATGACGGGTCGTCTACCGAAAGAATTTACGACATAATTTCCTGTAGATATACTGTATAGCTTAATAAACGTAAAAGTTATCGATGAGTTACAACTTAAAAATATTTAAAGCTTAGATGAGTGGAGTAGTTGAGTAGTAGACCAACATTTAGTGGGGTATTCCCGTACACTCCTCATCAAAATTGTATATAATTATATATTGTGTTGCAAATTTGATGCAGTGGCTGATCACGCGAAAACCAGCGATGTTTTATTATAAAACAAAAATAATATAAGTATATATATATATGTATTATTTGTAAAATAATATAATAGTTGTAAACTTGTAGCTACAGTAAGCTGTAAGTGTTTACTTAACCTGATCAACAAATTATACATGGCCAATGGCGTTAAAATAGAAAAGGTCAATATATTTTATGTCACCAATTAATTTTGACCAATAAAGTTTTGATTGTATACTACTTACATAATACACACCAGTGGAGTTTAAAACGACATTTTTTCCGTTCGTTCAAACTTCGGTATAATATCTTCTTTCGCAGAATTAACGGTGGCAAAAATTATTAGAAATTAACAGCATTAACAAATCGATTTCAAAATATTTATGAAACAAACTTTTTTATTTGCGGGTAGGCAGCAATAAAATGGTGTCCATTGGTAAGTAGCGATTTGTACAGACATTCTTGCCAATAACGCACGCGATACACGCACCACAATTAGGTATACATAGTTTGCAAACATCACATTATTTATAAATTTCACGCACAGACGTCCGTTTCGGTTTCGAAAATATATAAAATATTTACTTCATGCAATGCTGTAGTGTAGTATAATACAGGGAATATTAATTTTATATACGCGTACAATATTATTATTATTATTATTTAATATTTATTATATAATGGGCAATGGTCTATGGCGATGGCCGATGAAAATTTTTTTACATCAATCGAATGGTTCCCAATGTTCCCATATGATATAATAGTGTGGTTGTATTGTACTGAAAATTACAGTGGTAAGGGCTAGCAGCTCGAACAGGATTATGTTTTTGTAAATACTTTAAAGGTCGTATCTTTTATACAAGGCGATAAAACGTGCGTGTCAGTAATATTTTTTAAATTCGTTACTGGACGCGTATAATATTATTATGAGTATACCCATCTGTTATATTTTTACGCGTATAGAAACAATATGGGACATATATACGGTAAAAAGATTGTTATCATTACAATAGTATATATTATTGTCTATAATTTCTCATATTTGGTCATTATTATATTTTTTCTGGTATATAATATATACCTACACAGTCACGGCAGACGATTTGCGTTTTTTCGAAAAAAATCATAAAACGAAGTGGATGAAAACTATAAAAGTAAAAATATTTAATGAATATAAATCTAACATAAAAAATATATAGACTATACAACAAAAAAATTATAAATATTTTCATTCTATGGAAAGTTAATTAGATAATTTTTATTTTTAATGTACTTTTTTATTATTATTTATAAAATTCATTATTGGAATTTGATTATTTTATTTAATGTGTTTTAAATATTAATAGTTAATGATTTGACATAACTATTTTTAATTTATAAAAATATTGCTACTATATTATAGTATTATCAATCTTTTAAACTATTTTTATTTTTTTTTTTTTTATTTGAATTTTTTGCCTATTGGTTGGTTTTTTATCTATTTTTATATTGACATTAAAATATCAGACATTTTTCCCAAATACTTGTTCAAAATTTGATATTTAATCAATTGTCATTTATTTTAGTTCGCACGGTTTTACATTAACTGTTATTAAAAAACACAGATGCCATAATGTGCATATATTATTATACTATTTTAAATAACGTATTAAAATTTTTAGCAAATTTTAAAACTAACACGCGGTAGTACTCTGGGATAATAATTTATAATTAAAAATTTTAACTCGTTAATATACTAAACTCAAAAAAAAAATCGGGAACAAAGACCCGAAAAAAATAAAAATATATATAAGGTACCTATATTTATGTATATTCAAATTCATCTACGGCGAGTATAATTCAGAAAGTGACGGCAATCGGTTTTTTTTTTTTTTATATACGTTTATACAATTTAGCAGATACCATAAATAACAAACAACGTCGTGCAGGTTTGCGGATTCCACGAAATCGTCGTGAACAACGCTGCGTAACCAAATTATATATGCATGCGGGATATACAACACCACTGGTGTCGAAACTCTTCGATAACAGAAAATATATTTATATCGACTTAAATCCCAAAGTCTGGCTCCGAAGTACACTGCAGATTATAATGCACATTTTAACACCTGAAAAAACTTCATCTAACGTATATACAATTAATTTTCGACTGGTGTTTACACATATTTTTGTCAACAACATTATTAGACGAACAGTGAAAAACTATTTACTATAAGCTAGTGTTAATAACGGTAACACCGATAATACTTTATGCTGGTTATTAGCTGATACCGATAAAACGAAAATATACCATCATGCACCAGCCCTATTGTATAGGCTACGACTGTATTTCGTATGTGTCCCAAGAGTCTGATATCAAATTAATACCCCTGTGTCAAAACAAAAGGACCATGAGTTCATAATTCACAATATAATTATATGCAAAATAAAATGTGTACAAAAAGTTATTCAAAGTATACACAATAAAGAAAAGCAATGGTTATAACTTATAAATAATTGATCAGTTAATAAAAGTAAATAATAATTACAATACACTTATCTTACATAATTATAAAAATTAATAGAAATAGATACATATTTATTTTTCTTAAATTTATTTCAAATCGTGCTGTTAAATAATACAATACATAGTTACAAAACTAAAATTATCAATAACTACTAAAATTCATAATATCTAATTAATATTACAATAATAATGGAAACATTTAGTACCTTAGTACACGTTAATATTTTATTCTTGCCGAAATAAAGTTATAATTTTTTTTTTTTTTAAGAATTTTGAAATTTTTATTATTAAGTCTAACAGTAACTATAATAATATAGCATTTTGGATCGAAATATGTGGATTGTGTTAATTTTTTGTACATTTTTGGTACCTACTTTGATACATTTGTTTAGTATATTAAAACGTGTACATTTTATTTAAACGAGGTTTATTCAGTAATATAGCAGTTCTTTTATTATTAATCTTAATTCGTATTATACAAGACAATCTCGATTAAATGGCTTATTATAAAAAATAATATATATATATCTGTATAATATAAAAAGTATAATTCACTAAGTATGCTCATGATTCATCCCTATTCTCTGCGATAATAAATGTATTCGAAGTCAGAACTTTTGTAATTTTTAAATGTTCTTAAAGACCACATTTTCAAATTATTGAAATTGTTAGTGTTACTTCTGTTTTTAAAACGAAAATTCTTCCTTTTATCATTAAAATTGAGTAAAATGACAAGTCAGAGGTGCAGTGATTTCTTTTCATACGAATGTTATAAAACAGATAATGATCACGATAGCAACGTGGAAAATGATATGATACAATATTTTATCAGCTTGACTGCAGTTCGGTATTCCTAATTATTAGTTACTAAACATGCCGACCTAATATACGTACTACAGCGTGGTTACGGACTGATAATTTCAGTATTTTGCGTTGACACAATTTTGCGTGTCGCAATAATAATGTTTAGTTTTGTTTTGTAAGCCATACTCCAGCCGTTGCACATTATATATATATAGATTATATATTATATATTAGGTATATTTAATAGATACGTATCATAAAAAAAACTATATAATACGTGTTTGGACCAATAGCAGATCATGTTTTTTAAAATGGTTTCGTTACCGTTTGTAAATTTGTGGAATACGCTTGAATTTAATTTATATACAAAATTCTTATAAATAGGTACCTAATACATATTTTCTTTGATAATATTTGTACTAAAGTGAAAAATATAATACATACATAAGTATGTAATATTAACTATATTTTAAGCGAAAAGTTATAAATTTTTATTTTAGTTATTCAGTGATGACCTACTAATTATTTTTAATTTCACGATTAGGAGAAGTGAATGCTTTTTTTTTAAATGTTGACACATAAATACAAAGATACGTTTTATTTTTTAACACAAATCTAAATATTTTAAAAGATCGATATAAAATTAGATGTAAATTAAAATTCAAAAGTTTTAGTATGATACTACTGCGCTTAATATAGACAGTTTGAGGACCGTGGATTTTTTATTTTTTCAAAGTTCTTGATGATAACATCGTGTAATACTGTATAGCAATAATAAATTTGACGCGTGATTAAGTAAAAGTCGATGTTTTGTTTTTCGTCAAATTCTTTAACAGCAACCCGGTAGTCTTCTATAAATGGGTACTTCACTACTTTAGTAATGAGTTTTCCACGATACTCATAATAGCGAGACAATTTTCCAAAATACATTGTTGCTACTGACTCAATCAGCTGAATCAATGAAAGAATACTTGTTTGAATGTATACTCCAAAATTATTGTCGGATTCAGTTTTTGGTATTGACAATGTTACCCACATTTTTAAAACACGATTATCTTCAAGTAATTGTACGATATTGGATTTAATAATTTCAAAAAATTCAGTTACATTTTTATTGAACGGTATAAGCATTTGTCCTAGAACAGTATCATATGGAGTTTTCCCGTCTGCATAATTTTTAACATTGTTTTTCAGTTTAGCAATAATTGTGGTTATATCGAATTCACATTCTATGTTATTTGTCGGAGTACAAGACTCGGGCTTGTTGAGTAATTCGTAAAAATATACTAATCGTTCTGGAATTTTTTGAAAAACAATAATTTCAGCGTCAATCTTAAATGTTTCATGAAATTCTTTAGTTTTCATAGTAGCTTCATTTTGGTCCATGGTTTTCCTTGAGTGAATTACGTTCTGATGAATAAGGGATGGAAACGAGTCGATTATAGTATTCTAAAACGTAATAAAATACCGCATGGTAAATCAAAAAAATAATATTTCATAAAACAAAAATAATCACCAAGAGAAACGAGATAATATTAAATATTATTCCACAAATAATATTTTTTAATTAGCAATATAAATTAAAAGTCTGAATGACAATGTTAGTAAAGACGAAGAGTAAGTAATATACTGATAATTTAAGCAACTTCCTCTGCATGATTTTTGGATCAACTACTTCACTAATTTAAAAACATACAGGAAATATTAATTCCTGCGGAAAGTAAGTTGGTGCCTACTTAGGTATCGAAAGCTATCAGAATTGAATAAATATTTTTTATAAATTAAATTAGGTATCTCCTATATAAAAAAAACGAATTAAAATTTAAAATAAATCAGTATGACGAATAATAGTGAAAATAATTATATTTAATAATAACATATGTAATACTAAGTTACATATTTATAATATAATAAAGAAACACAAAAGTTGACTTAAAAATTTAGTAGAATCTGTTGGAGGGCTGGAATAGATGATTCGCTTCGTATTTATTTAGTAGGTATTAATGTATATACTTATTGATACAAAAATAATACTTAATACCTATAATTCTAGTTATTTTTCTTAAACTAAATAAAAAGTACAATAATGAACACTTATCAGTCATTATAAAATATATATTAAAAATAAATAACATTATTGTATAATATACATAATAGTACCAAACTGAACAACAAAACGATTTGGCCGATAAATAGCATCTAGCGATAATGATTACTTGATTTCGTCTTTAAAGATGATAATGACGTGTTTCATTTATATTACTTATATAATATATAATATGCTTGTTATAATGACATTTCATGGAAGTCCCAATACTGTTATAGAATAATGGCTACAAATCAACTTTTAAAATTTTAAATAACAAAATATATTTATTCGGCCATTCATTAATCAGTTGATCACTTAAATAAAATTATAATAAAATTTTTAATTTTTAATTATTTTAGTATACATATTTTATGACATATAATATTATATAATTATTCAATGTCGATGGTGGAATACAATTGGACAGAAACATATTATTCATATTTAAAGGTAAAATTAAGAAGTTAACGTAACATGATGCATAGCCAAAAAATATAGCAATTGAGTCTGCAACCAAGAAAACGAAAATATGATATGTATTAATTATTTACGTAAATAACTACAGCATGACATCGTTTTTAACATTTTTAAGGCTTTCGTTGTATAAAAAAGTAGTAGTGTTATTACTAGCATATTTTATGGGATGGGAATTTGGTATTTTATTTTTAATTATACCTGTAGAGATTTATGTTACAATCTTCCACATAATTCTATGTAAAAATGAGAGGAAGATTATTTTATTTTTAAGTTTTGAGGAACTTTTTAAGTATTTAAATATGGATATAATTGGTATCTACTTATTATATTTTAAACTTAAGGATTTATTTGGATTCAGTTGGTATGCATCCGACGTTATATGTTAACACTAGCTTATACGTATAGTTAGGTACTATGGTAGTAAACAGTTACAGTTACAAAACCATTTGTTAAATATTTTTACCTTTCAAGACAGTGGCGTATATAGGGGGGGGGGTTTAGGGGTTCACCCCCCCCCCCCCCACGGAAATGTATGGTTGGTATTGGCCTTGATTTTGATTGTTATAATATTATATCATATTATTTAATATTATTATTATTATTATAATATAATGTCAGGATTTCTATGAAATACTACAAGATAACGACGCGTCGTAAGTCGTGATGGACCGCTGCGAGTTGTCGACGGTCTATATACATATAATATATAGTTAGTATAGAAGTCTGTGTTCAATATACGACGATAATCTAAAGACGAAATTATCGATATTATTATTTCTTATTATTTGGTTGTTAATTATTATGAAGAACCAGACAAACAAAATTTAGTTTGTTTTCGGATGTCAGTTGTTTCGTTAAGTGTCGCGTGTGTAACAAAATATTAATTATTAAATATGGCATCACAACCTTCATTATTACATTTTTTTAATAAAAAAGTAGCTGTGACTGAGCCTGAAAAACATGATGATAATCCTTGTTCATCCACTACTATCAATAATAGCAAAATTGATAGTAATACTGATTTAAATGAATTAAATGTCTATAATTATTAAAATAAAGTTAGTTTATAATATTGATTAGGTAAATAAATTTTTTTTAACCCCCCCGGAAATTAATTTCTATATACGCCACTGTTTCAAGAGTTTTTTCTCGCTATGCAACCATTGTGCGTCGATGACCATCCCAAATAAACATGATGGCTATGGGAACGGATTCAAAAATCTAATCAATACCTTAAAGTTTAGTATTCAATAAAAATTAAAAGATAATTTGCAATCCGTATTTCAAAAAATATCGTGGATTAGTCTCCCAAATTCGTGGTCAATTCGAATGTGTAGGCCTTAATCCGGGGCTTGTATTTATGCTTTTATAGAATCTATAGTGCAAAATATCTATAATATTATGTTACATAATGATTAATTTGGAACGTCATGATTTTGATACAATTGCGCGTATTTACGTGAATATAATATATACGTACAATGCGTTAAAGTTAAGAAAAAAATCAAACAATTTAAAAACAAAGCCGTTGTGTAACAACACAATGATTCACGAAAATCAGACTGTATGCAATATAAGATTGTCGGGTTAAGAAAATATTTATGCGGGCAACAAAATAATTATTTAAAACCGATTTGAACGCGGTGAGAGGGGTGTGGAGAGAATAAAAAAAAAGCGTAACTGCATATGTGTATTATAATATAACACAATATTATTATAGATATATTATATATAATATAATATATAATACGTTTCAGCAGCAGCAGTATATATGTATACAAAAAGCGTATAAATGTAAAACAAATGCAGACACGTTTAAAAAACAAAATAAATAAAAATATACCAGTTTGTTTAAATTAAATGAAACCGTGAGCGCGCGCACGTATAAGAAAGCGTGTATCGATTGTATATAAATTATACCCGATACCGACTATAATATTATTTATAATATTATTACCTATCTTAGGTAAGGATGATTTGGGTTGGACGAATGGTTCTTCTTTATGATATATTATAATATTAAATAAAATTTCAAATTTGTGTCCAATTATGATTATCAAATACAGTAAATTCAATTTGCACAATAACTTTAAAACAGGAATAACAGCTGATATTGACTTAGAAATGTAAAACGTCATCGAAGTCTCATGGTCGTCAAACATAAAATTATTAAGAAAGGTGTCAAAAAATAGAACAACGTATAACAATACCGAAATACTGCGTTTCTCGAACGAATCAAAATAGAACAAGAAGTTATTATGATTTAAAGTAATTGCTGTTCACTGTTAAACTAATCACGAAAATAAATAAGGTTAATTGTAATAGGTACATTCTACATATGTAATCGCGGTATTGATTGATTCTATAGAAGTATTTAAAACATATTTTTCTTACAATCTATGATAGGTAATTGATAATATTAAAGTGGAACTTGCATGTTTAATAGACTGACAATTCCTAATCGTTATTATTATATATATATATATATATTATGTCTGAAAGTTAAAAATAATATAATATAATAAAACAACTTATACTTAAGTGAATAATTAATGTCGTCAAAGTAATTTACCGCTGTAAAATCGTACGATTTTAGAAACGGATTAATCCGTTGGTATTTATTTGAAGAAAAAAAATAACAAGTGACGCGATAAAGCAAAATCGTAATTAATTAATTAAGCCTTAAGATTATTATCGAGACCGTGTGTATACTCACGTTAGAGTAGGCCGCATACATTTAGAAGTGGTCTGCAATAAATATTGATCGCGGGATTCGACGAGTCGTCTTGAAGTTCCGATAACTGCACGACAGATGACGACAGGACTACGACTGACGGACGACGGTCGTCGATTTCCGTTCGGTTTTCACGATAATCATAAAAGATAATAAACCGGATGTGACAATAACAATTACTGTCGTTAGTAGTGCTATACTATAGTCAATAACAAAAAAAAGTAGTAAATTTTTATCAGCATGCCGATTGGTTATTGTAAGGAAAATCTTTCACTGATTTTTCTTAATAGTGTTGACCTAAAAATCCATATAATCCATATAAACAATCCTAACCATAAAAAATATTTGAAACCAAATATGATTACAATTTACTAAGAATTGTTTTTAAATACCATAAATCGAGTATTCTTTGCTGTTACGAATAATTGTCGTCGTTTTAGCTCTACGCGCCCCTGGCCCACTCTGTATAATATACAATATTAATTGGTCTAATGAATAAAAACTTGTAACAACGTACCTCCTGTCGAGTTGCGAGCATAAATATTTATTATGGCATATCTGATTTCGTAATAATTATATGCAAGGTGAAAAAAAGTATTAAAGACTTTACGGCGCATGATCTATTTAACTTAAGACACCTATTATTTCAGTAAACACTAACTTTTTTGAAAATATATTTTACATAATTATTTAAGTTGTTACAAAACAACATTTAAGAAAAAATAAATAATTTTAGTATTTTTTTCGTTATCATTTAAAATTTTTTTTTCTCTTTTGAAAAAGTACATACAATTTTAATTTTATATTCTTAAACAGAGATAATATTTTGATCAATAAAAATCTAATTTTGGACTAGTAGATCATTATTTATATATATTTGAAGTTTAGATATGAGCGTATAGTGGTCCAATATTTTGTAGGGTATATCACTACTCCATTCATCAAAATTTTATAACCTTACGTTGAAACTCATATTAATTTATTCGTTCAAAATTCGATTTTTATGTATCGAATAGGAATTAAAAACACATGTTGGCCTTGTTATTTAAAAAGATAAAAAAAATAATAAAAATAACTATAAATTATATTTCTTGGAAAAATTTTTTTAATGATTTAAAATTATGTAAAATATTTTTTTTTAAAACGTGAAATTATAAGTGTATTACATTAAATTAGATCACTCGGTATACATTTTAATGTATACGCACACGAACGTAATGAAACGCGATAATAACATGTAATACAATTATGACCCAATCTAATCAAGTCACGCTTGTGAACACGGTGTTTTTCGATATCCCTCCTTCTCGTCGTCGGCAGTGTCGACGATATTTTATTTCCGCGCGCGATCGAAAGTCGTTTGACCGCAGTCGAACTGCATCGCGGACAACAACAATAATATAAAATACGATAAATAATAACGCTCAGAGGTTATGGGTGTAATCGTATGATGGGCGTACCTAACTTATAATAATATACTGTGTTTTACTAAACGATGTTATTATTGTTGCGCAGTGCAGGGGGGAGTAGATAGCCGTTAAATTTTCTATGATTTCGGGACAATAAATAACTTCAGTTTTTGGTATTCTATAGATAGATTTCAGAGTTTCTGATTTTAATTGTAGTCAATTCTTCCCCATCGGCCGTCACCGTTTATTTTCATTTCACAAACCATTTTTTATTAAATCGTCCTCTTTTTAGTAGGTATATACAACAACAACAAAAGTTCTCCAATTAAATAAAATGTTTTACCGTATATATTTATATATTGCAGAGATCGACATGTCCGTCAAGTTAAATGCTGAACCGGCACATTACAAAAAGACAGTCAATCAATTTATATTAACAATTAGCGATCCGATATGTTTTAGCAAAACATTTTTAGATTTTGTTAGAATACCTGTATCTGCCGGTAGAGGTTCCAAATTCAATTGCAAAAATACTTAAATAATTCGTCCGAATTAATACATCGAATTAATTAAATATCGCTAATTTTAGAATCCACCTACCATAGTATGAGAATAACTCAATCGATTGCGTATAGCACGCGGATGGTTTATTTTTGATTTTTTGAAAACTTTATGTAAACTACAAGTGCACCCCTACGTTTCAAACAGGCAGTGATATCGTTTTTGGACACACAAATTACACAGAATATTTTCTGGACACTGGACAAAAATGGAACGAATCATAATAACCGTATTACACATACGCACTAGAAAACAATGCCCTATCGGCCGCGTATTCGTGCAGTGCTCGGGGTAAAGTCATTTTGGGCCGATTATACGGTACGAAAAAAAGGAAATCGAACGACGGCGCGGGCTTCCGGAATAATCCTCGTTCGGTCGGTCCGAAAACAGCGACCAGGCAAAGAATATCGCTTGTATTTTACGTCTTTTTCTTTCCCTGCTTATATTTTCCTACACACCATATATAAATGTATATAATATTTGCGATTCACGCATATACGACTTATTGCCGCCACTTACGCAGTGATACATATACCGCGATCGTATAATAACGAGACGCCCTCGCGCCGGACCCGATCGGCTGGAAAATCGATTTTCCTCCGCCGACGTCGTTTGGTTTCTTGTATATAAAATAACCCGTATTAGTCACGTCCGGCGCGTTGTCCGGCGCAACTATCTATGCGCGTTTATATACAGGACGAATTGTGGTACACAGTTTTTCATGTGCATTTTTCGTACTACCACGGGGTTTGACAATTAGTTTTTTTGAGAACGATTTGAAAAGATATCGTCGAGGTCTAGAAATAACAATTATAAATATTTTAAAAGTTACGATTGGTACATTTATTTTTGTTTTAGAAACGAAATTTTACGGTGTAAGTAAAATTAAATTGATGAAATTTAAATAAGGTTTAAACCATTTAAGATCCCTCTACAAGTTTCTACACGAAGACAGAAGCGTCTAAAAAGCAAACATTTAGAGTTCGTGAACCCAGGGATAAATAAGAAAAATATTGTTGGCGGTCTAGCATTTCCCTTCTACGGTTCCCATAACGCTTATACTTCAGTCAAATGTATATATTCAACCATGCCGAGGTGAAAACTGCACTTTACAATCGCCCTGTATAATACAATATATAGGTTTACACGTTTTCAGTTCCGGATACTGCTATACAGCGAAGGGCGTTCGAGCGCGTTGTATAATAGTATAATATGTTTAAGTCGTGTGCACATATATATTGTACGACACGATCGTAAAAACCATTTGAACTAAATCCCGAGCGTTTGATTTTTTTTGGTCTGTTGATCCCTGCAAGGTCCGAGACACTATATACATACATGCACTGCAAGTGCGTCGCGGTAGTAAACGTACTGGTACGCAGTGGACCTTATACTTATATAAAACGACCCGAACGAGTTTTAGCCGAAAAAGTCGTTTTCCGCAGCGATTATTTTCTTTCCGTGGTCTTCTCGAATAGAATGTGACGTTTATATATTAAACTATAGTAAGCCGCGCGTAAACTTGCGACTCCTTCACTGCAGATTATCTCGAAAAACGTATTATTTATAAATATTTTGCGTGCAGAACAATGTGTGTGCAAATACAGTAGTGTCTCTCTCATATTTTTAATTCTTGTAATTCAAAGATTAAAATATTTAAATTGTTCAAACAGTATACGTCTTGTATACATTGCAGTGTGTGTACGATAATTTTGTTCATGATTTCTATAATTCAAGCTTATACTTGTTAAGATTTATTATGGTTATATTTTAATGCTTATTTAACGGTTACTTATAATAATTGTTATTAATTATTGTTTATTCAATATTTATAAAGGGAATTAACTAAGTCTTTAGAGAGAGGGGAGGGTGTTAAAAAGCAATCACGTTAAAGATAACAAAAAACAAAAAAAAAAAAATGTAAAACTAATGATCAATATCGTTTATTAAAAATGTCGAGAAGAAAATGTTTGATATAGCACGGGCAAACGGTCAAACATGTAAAAGTTAGATGCAAAAGATAGAATATAATGTAGGTATGTACAGGGTTCAAATGTTAAGAATCTGTGATTAAATTTCTCCCACGATTTGACCAAGTAAAGCTTAACATAAAACTTCCATAAGTTTTTGTTCTCATTAAATACTGACTTCTAAAATAGATTCTATTGGTTGTTATTTAATACTATCCAATGGTAAAATAGTCGTTTTGTTACATAATATATTACAGTAAAAATATGTGTTTCAATGGTGAATAAAACAACATGTCAATTTTATGGTTTGCAAAAGTTTTTACTTATCGTTTTCACTGTGATAAAAATATAAAAACAAAAGTTTATTTTATTATTTTTTTTCTCCAAGTTTTATTAGAAATTGTTATGGCAAAAAAATATTATAAACTTTTAACTGATAAGATTATATATAATTAATTCAAGTTACTTTATCTTTAAAAAACTTCCAAATTGTGCAACAATGTTTTGATTTAATTGTAATAAGTAATAACGTTTAATTTTTATTTAACGTATTGAAATTAGATTGAATTGTAAATAATTAAAAATAAAAACAAACATTAAACTCATACCCTGCATAGTTTTAAACATAATTATTATTAGAGCTGTGAATTAAATGTACTAAAAAATTTTGAAAACAGAAATTCAGATTTATATGCATTGGAAAAATAAAAAAATGAATAAAAAATGTTAAAAATTTAATTAAAAATAAAAATGTGAAGCAAAAGATTCAAAATTGAATTTGTTGTTAGACAATTTGAACTTTTTACTAAGAAAGTTAAGTTTTACGTTAAGCTAAAAGAATAACTTTGTTAAAAACCCATAGCCCTTATTATTATAAAATGGCGGCACTAAACTGTTATAGTATGTGACGTTAATAAATAATGTAAGTATCTATTTGTGACATCATCTGTGCAGATTGAGAGCGAAAAAATGATTTCGTGTAAAAAAGAAAAGCGAAAACCGCGAAAGGATCGATACACATTACGGAACGCGTGTAGTGTGTACCAACTATGTACCATGCGTGTATGTGCGTGTATGTGCATGGGTATGCTGTGAAAATGGCATGTGTTGATCATTAAAAAAAAATACGAGGTCGACGATTTA